AAAAAAAAAAAAAGGAAAACCACTGCTCTGAGTGATCATTCAAGGAGGGTTCTTAAATATCCACAAGCAATATAAAGGAGGAAAAGGCCTGGCACATATTAGCACTGGCTCAGACAGCTAACAAATGTTTTCAAATCATCTCAATACAGAAACCAGAGCCTCCCATAAGAATTCTTGTTTTCACTTACCCAGTATTTTTAAGTTGGTGTGATTCTGCATGTTGTGGGATCCCATAGAGATGCTCAAATCCATGCAAGGAGAAATCCAAACCAATGGAAGAAGGACCTGTAGAAACCAGGACACCAAGTTTTGTTTTTGAAAGGACACTCACGTAAGGAGATTCAGTTAATTCTGAGTGCAGAGAGATGACTAGACTAGAGGCTGAGAGGCCTGGGCTCAGCTAGATCAATCAGCAAATGCTGTGTACTGACCCTCTGTGAGATATTATATTCAGGTGTTGTGGGGATACAAAAATGTTTAACTCAAAGTTCTGGTCACGTATTAGTTCTGTTGCCTTAGCTGTGTGATGAAGCTCTCTGTTTCCTCTTTCCAGTAAATCTCTTTTCTCTCTATAAAACATGATAACAAAGTTTTAGAGTTTTTTCCTAATCGAAATTTTCCTTATCACATATTTCTTTGCTTTAGGAAGCAAAGGATATTGCGCATTTTCAGTCTTCACTAGATGAAATGACTGAATGTCTTGTGCTTGATCACTCATTCTTACTGCCAGCCTCATCTGTGACTGCCTATAGAGAATGCAAACGTCAAGGGCACCAGGAGGGCCATAACTGGTTCCTCAAAATATTCCTCCTCTGTGATTGTGATTATATAAACTTCCTTTAACCAAAGACAAAGTCCTTTATTTAGCAATCATTTTAGAGCTATGGAAAAAATGTAAATGACTAGGAGGTATAACGTGGACTTTAATTTATGCTAGGTTAAAGTATTTGACATCAAATGGTCCTTATTTGTAGGAGCTTGTGGAAAAGAGATGCTACAGAGAAGATAAAAAATATTATGACATGGACGGGTATGGTGGCTTACTCCTGTAATCCCAGCACTTTGGGAGGCTGAGGCAGGTGCATCACTTGAGGCCAGGAGTTCAAGGGTGCAGTAAGCCATGATCACGCCACTGCACTCCAGCCTGGGTGACAGAGTGAGAACCTGGCTCAAACAAACAAACAAACAAACAAAAAGATTAAAAGATTATGATGTTATAGAAAGGAAGGCCTGAGAACCCATGCCCCCACTTTTAATTTGGGGCATTCTGTCAGCCCTGATCATTATACTATGTTGTGGATAATAACGGCTAGAATGGGAATTTTAAAGGTGTTAGAAAGGGTTTGTTATTCTACAGAGTAGGGAGGAGGAAAGAGGAAAATGAGTACTTTTCTAACTGCATAAGTCCCTAGTACCTGAAAGACACCTCCTAAAGAGACAAACTTGCCCCCCTATCCCAATTCCATCACTGAGCCTGGTAAGAAATGTTAACAGATGGGAATGTGATACCCATGCGAATGATGGGCCTGGAAAAGGTTGAGAACCATTGGCTTGAAATGTTGCAACTGAGGGGCTCTAGAACTTGGGTTTCTCATCACTTGACTCTCATAAAAATTGAATGTGGAATTTGTAGCTGTCTTATCTAATGAACAGTGCAAGCAGTGTGCTGACCTAGGCCCCTCCACGAGACCATAAGCTCCATGTGGCCTATATTTCTTTTACACTTCCCACAAAAGGCATATAATTGCTATTTCTCTGTTGCAATGCATTATTGAAGGATAGCGAATCTGATCTGAGATTTCTGTTCTTCTGTTAAAGTCACCTGTTTTAGGTGCCAGAGATCAAGGGGCTTTTAGATAGAATTATGCAGCCATTTTTGGAATGATCTGTTTTAATACTATACCAGTTTCAATTTTACCATTAGCTTTGATATCCACAAATTTTCCAAATTTCTCTTCCCACAGGCCCAGATCCTCTTGATTTTCCTGTTGGTACAAAAAAGGGAGCAAAGTGAGTTTACAAATTGTAACAAATGTGTTCACCACAATAGCACATTTTATTTGGATTTTTTTCCTAAAAGACTGAGAAAGTGAGTTCATCTTTTAGAAGAACAGTGTGTGATGTCAGTACATTTAACAAATCAAATCTGTGTTCTATATACATGTCAATAATCATCTTTATGAGTCATAGCTGACATGACTATATATTTTTTATTGTGGTAAAATATACACAACATAAAATTTACCATTTCAACTACTTTCAAGTGTAAAGTTCAGGTTCAGTGGCTTTAAGTACATTCACATTGCTGTGCAACTATTGAAACTGTACCCCAAAGAGTTAAATAAGCCAGTGATTAACAGAAATTCTTGAGCTTATAAGATGGCAGATAAGAAAAAAAACCAAGTTGCTGAAATGCTAAAACCCACTGCTTGTGAGATTAAAAAACTGGCTGAAATCAGTTGGAACCAATATGGCCAATTGGAATCTGCAGAACAAGCTTGCTGGCAACATAGCCTGAACTGCCACCACATATTTCATACTAATTCCCTCTGAATTTGCACAGGCAACCTATGAGGAAGCATGAAGAGATAACTGCACATGCCCGAGGACTCTTCAGACTTCCCTTTCCTTCCACCAACCACCTGCTATAATATAATCCCAGAATCTACTCCCTAAAACTTTCTAATAAATTACTGCCTTAAGGCCAGCACAGAGACAAATTTGAGCTGGACTCCTATCTCCTTGTTGGTCAATCTAAAATAAAAACCTTTTCTGTTCTCAAAGACCTGGTGTCATAGTATTGGTTTCTAGTGCATCAGGCAGCAAGCCCCTTTGCTCAGTAACACTGTCACCATCCATCTTCAGAATCTTTTTTTTTTTTGAGACGGAGTCTTGCTCTGTTGCCAGGCTGAAATGCAGTGGTGTGATCTCGGCTCACTGCAACCTCCAACTCCCGGGTTCAAGCGATTCTCCTGCCTCAGCCACCCAAGTAGCTGGGATTACAGGCATGCACCACCACGCCCAGCTAATTTTTGTATTTTTAGTAAAGACAGGGTTTCACCATGTTGGCAAGGATGGTCTTGATCTCCTGACCTCGTGATCCACTCGCCTTGGCCTCCCAAAGTGCTGGAATTACAGGTGTGAGCCACCATGGCCGGCCTCCAGAACATTTTTTTTTTCCTGGGCAGTGCCCGGGGGTGTGGAGGGAGTCTCTGTGGAAACCCCCGAGCACTGCCCATCTGCAGAACTTTTTCGTCGTCCCAAACTGAACCTCCTTGACCATTAAAGAGCAACTCCCCGTTTCCCCCCGTCAGTCCCTGGCAGCCACTATTCTACTTTCTGTCTTTATGAATTTGACTACTCTAGGTACCTCCTACAAGTAGAATGATATATAATTTGTCCTTTTGTAACTGGCTTATTTCACTTAGGATAACAACTTCAGGTTTCATCCATGTTGCAGTATGTATCAGAATTTCCTTCCTTTTTAAGACTAAATAATATTCCATTGCATGTATTTATCACATTTTGTTTGGGCATTCATCCATCAATGGACATACTTCGGTTGCCTCCACATTTTGGCTATTGTGAATAATGCTGCTATGAACATGGGCATATAAATATCTGTTTGAGTCCCTGTCTTCACTTCTGGGTATAGACCCAGAAGTGGAATTGCTGGATCATATTGTGATTCTATGTTTAATTCTTTGAGGAACTGCCATAACTCTTGACATGAATATCTTTACAGGAACCAAAATGTAATAGTGCTTTGAAAAATGCAGTCTTTAATATGTAAGAATTAAAAAATTTTTTTTCTTGTAAATATGTGAGGCAAAACATTTAGAACCAAATAACTTAGGTCTGTTTTAAGAGATCCTATGCAGAGATTTGTTTTTGCTGAGATGGGTACTTTACCCCCCTGCTTCAATCAATCAGCCAAATTACTAGCTACATTCTTGTGCTAGTTTGAGAAGTCAAGTCAACTGGGATGGCAATGACTGCTCAGGTCCATAATCTTTTGAAGCAAAGGTATAAACTTTCTCAGCCTTATAAAAGTCTTCTTTTCCCTAGAATAAAAAACTTTTAAAAATTGTGTATGTGTGAAATGCATATTTCTTTAAATGACTCTTTGTCCATTTCTAGGTTCATAATTAAAGCTTCTGTAAAGCAAGCCTGTTTTTTTTTTTTTTTTTTTGACAGGGTCTTGCTCTGTCAGCCAAGCTGGAGTGCAGTGGCACAATCACTGCAGCCTTGACCTCCTGGGCTTAAGTAATTCTTCCGCCTCAGCGGAAGCTGAGAGTAGCTGAGACTACAGGCACATGTCACCATGCCTGGTTAATTTATTTTTATTTTTTATAGAGACAAGTCTCACTATGTTGCCCAGACTGGTCTTGAACTCCTGGGCTCAAGCAATCCTCCCTCCTTGGCCTCCCAAACTGTTGGGATTACAGGCGTGAGCCACCATATCTAGCCAGCTGTATGTTAAAAAAAACCAAAACACCTGAATGCATAATACAGGGGCTACTATTCTGGGGTCCCTGGATGGGCTTTAGAGTCCATTAACTCCCTCAAACAATATGAACAATTTTAATTTTTCTACAGAGACAGTTCATAGTTTCCATCAGATTCTTGCAAAGGGGTCTGTGACTCAAAACCACTACCTAATCTATCTACTGTCAGGGCTCTTTTTTTTGTTTTTATTTCTTCTTAAAAAAAAGTGGGGGGATACACGTGCAGAACGTGCAGGTTTGTTACACAGGTATACAAGTGCCATGGTGGTTTGCTGCACCTATTGACCCATCCTCTAAGTTCCTTCCCCTCACCCTCCAGCCCACAACAGGCCCTGGTGTGTGATGTTCCCCTTCCCATGTCCATGTGTTCTCATTGCAACTCCCACTTACAAGTGAGAACACGCAGTGTTTGTTTTTCTGTCTCTGTGCTAGTTTGCTGAGGATGATGGCTTCCAGCTTCATCCAGGTCCCTGCAAAGTACATAATTCCATTCCTTTTTATAGCTGCATAGTACTCCATGGTGTATATGTACCACATTTTCTTTTCTTTTTAAATCTCTGAACAGTGGATTTTGTTACTTTTATGTTGATTTTTATTATTGGTTTATTTTATTATACTTTAAGTCCTGGGATACATGTACAGAATGCGCAGGTTACATAGGTATACACGTGCCATGGTGGTTTGCTACACCCATCAACCCATCATCTACATTAGGTATTACTCCTAATGCTCTCTCTCCCCTAGGCCCCCACCCAGCAACAGGCCCTGGTGTGTGATGTTCCTCTCCCTGTGTCCATGTGTTCTCACTGTTTGACTCCTACTTATGAGTGAGAACATGTGGCATTTGGTTTTCTATTCCTCTGTTAGTTTGCTGAGAATAATGGTTTCTAGCTTCATCCATGTCCCTGCAAAGGACATGAACTCATCCTTTTTTTATGGCTGCATAGTATTCCGTAGTATATATGTGCCATATTTTCTTTATCCCGTCTATCACTGATAGGCATTTGAGTTGGTTCCAAGTCTTTGCTAATGTGAACAGTGCTGCAATAAACATATGTGTGACTGTGTCTTTATAGAATGATTTATAATTCTTTAGGAATATCCCCAGTAATGGGATGGCTGGGTCCGATGGTATTTCTGGTTCTAGATCCTTGAAGAATCACCACAGTCTTCCACAATGGTTGAACTAATTTACACTCCCACCAACAGTGTAAAAGCATTCCTATTTCTCCACATCCTCTCCAG